GGCTCCCTCTTGTCATTCTGGTCCCAGGAAATGTCGCCCCAGTGAGGTCTTTCAGACCCCTACCCGGTGACCCCTGGCCCTCCCTCACAGGCCCCTGAATGTCCCCTCAGCGCTGGCTCTTTCCCCTCTCATGTCTTTGCTTTCATGCTTTTGTCCTTGTCCCCTCCAGAGTGTGAGCTCCTGACCGGCAGGGACCACTCAGTCACTGTCAGCCCTGCACTTACACCCACCTGAGCACCTGGCACAGGGTGAGTGCTCGGTGCACAGTCGCTGAGTGAAGAATTGTGAAACTCGTGTCCCCTCCTCCTGCTCTTCACCAAGTCAGACTGTGGAGAGGAGCGCTAGTACCAGGAGGAGTGAGTTCTCTCTGAGGCGGGGCACAGCCGGAAAGGCCTCTGCACAGCTATTCGCTGCTCCAGCAGCTGAGGCAGGCTGAGTGGGCGCCGTGTAAGTTTAAGAAGTCAGCACAGGGACTGGATGCACACAGCCTGCGCAATGACACCACCAGTTCACTTAACACCCGTCACCGAAAACAGAAAAGTGTTTGCTTGTGATGAGAAGTTTAGCTTCTTGGTTCTTAGCAATTTTGAAATGTACCACACAGCAGTGTTAACTTAGGCAGTGCTGTGTGGCAATTACATCCCAATAGAAGTGACAACAGTGAAAACCCAACCTCATTGGGCACCACTGACGCTGGAGGCTGCCTGCCCCCTGGTGGCCAGCACCAGCACTGCAGCCCTGGCAGAAGCCACCACACAGGAAGTCTCTTTGGGCGTCCTCAAGGCAGAGGCTCCCCACTGTCCCAGGGGTAAAGGAGCAGGACCTGCAGGCTTCCAGGCCGTGGGAGGAACCTCAGGAGCCTCCCTCTCCCTCATCTTTCTGTCCCTCCACTTGGGTGTCCTTTTTTCTCAGGAGGCATCCTGACCTCAACCAAGGCAATGATTCTCCTCTCCAGCCAAGTGAGCACCTCGGGAGTCCAACAAGGACTGGTCTTGTCCCTGGACTCTGGCCTTAGTTCACAGTGCTCTGGCATGTTCTTCCTTATCCCAAGTTCTCATCCACCCGAACCCCCAAGCCTCTCTCAGTTCTAAAGGATCTCCAGCAGGTGGGAAAGCATTTTCTCAGGTGCTCAGAGCACAGGGCGTCATCGATGGAGAACCAAGGGCCACAGACCCATCCTGAGCATCATACGGAACCCAGGGAGTCACCCGCTGCATGCACTCCACTTGACACAGGAGGACACCAAGGTCTTCTCTCCTCTACCCAATGTCTACACAAGAGGAGAACGGCTCCTCAGAGTAGCAGGTGCCCACAGAAGTGGACTCCAGCTCCCCAGTCCTGTGCCCTCCAGGCTGGGTCAGGATGCCCTTGGAACAGGTACACACCTAGAAACCTCAGGGATTCTTCAGTCCGTCTCGGGCCTTCTGGTCATGTAGCCAGGAGGACGGATGCTACTGTTCATGG